TGACATGCTCACCAAACCAATCACGTTGTTGAGGGATTGGGTTAAGTTCTGGCATTTCCTTGGGTTTCATGTTGATGCGTCAATCCCCAAATATGACCCCGAAAACACACCTCAAAAAACTTCCAAAGGGTCTTCCAAAACAACCGCCACTTCAGGACCTGATGAAACTAAGGGATCTGATGATGTGGTGACCAAGGTGAAGGTGATCGTGGCTATGGCTGCGCTGGCTGTGGCGTCTTCAGCAGCTGGGCGAGCTGACGTGCGGCTGGCCTGTGCTACTGCTGCTGCTGCATGCGCTGGATGGCTGGCTTGCAACTGGCACCCTGCGCCTTCATCAGCGGATCGATCCAAAGAGATCTGTTTAGACGGGAGGGAGGTGGAAAAACCATCAAGAGCCATTGGCCTCAAAAGCGAAAAAGATGCCAGGGGAGATGAAGGGAAAATGAACCTGGAGGCATAAACCCTCAAATAAGAACCAAAAAATGTGTGAGATCTCCAAGGGAAGATGAACCTGGAGAAAACAGTTTTGGGAAGGTTTGGGATAGAACCCCTGAAAATGGTAATTGGGCTCACCGAACCTATGAAAGTCGAAGGGATTTTTGGGACAGTAACCCCGAAGAAGGTCCTGGTTTTGGGGATTTTGTGGCAGGAAACAGCTGTGGCATGGCGCACAACAGTTTTGAGTCCGTTGGTGGTGACTCTGAAGATGCTGTTGAAATGTTGCAGCCACTGTTGGCTGATACCTGCCACTGCCCTACGGGCTGCCCAAAAGTTCCGGCCGTGCGTTTAGCTGCCATGGCCCCTAAGATGTCCAAACCTGCGCCGCCGCTGCCGCCGCAAGAGCCGGGCTTTGCTGCTCCAAAGGCTGCTCCTAAGCCTGCAGCTGTGCGCCGCAAAGCGCCGCCGATGATGCTGCAATGTGCTGCGGCGATGGGTGCACCTTCAAGCTCCTCTGAAATAAGGGGACCCTACATCGGCGCTTTGCCGAAGTTTCCTCCAGCCCGTCGAGATGCAGAAATGGCTCAGAAGGCTGCTGGTGGAACCATGCTGGACGGTATGCCAAGGCATGGACCCTGGCTGGATAGTCGGTACCTCCAGCCGAACACCACAGGAAAAAAGGACTCTTGGTCCGTTGCGAAGTGCGGGGAAGAAATCTTCTTGGTCAAAGTACACAAGTCACCGAGGAAACAGAGGTTTCATCCACTGCACCGTTCGGCACCAATTGAAGCCCAATTCCTGACTGGTGAAAGGGTCACAAAAGCCTTTTTTGTGAATCCTGCTGATGGAGTGGGGTTCTTGGTTGCTGACCGATGGGACGATCCGGTCGTCAGAGCCGAGTCACGATGGATCGGCTACACCTTCCTGACAATGAGGCGGGAAGTCATGGAAAAGATGAACCTGAGCATCCAGCTGGAGCCGGCTGCAACTGCAGAAGACCCTCCATGGCCCCAGACTGAGGTGCCCAAAGATGATGACCTAGACGTGCACGTGGGGTCGCTGCTATGCCCTCCTCTACGGGTTCAGACTTGGGCTCGCTGCCGAAGTCCTACGTCCCCCTGACCGTGGAATGGGACGTCACCAACACTTTGAGCTCAGACTCTAGCCAAAGGGTCCCTGACTCCTTCGTCTCCCATGTCGAAGAGTGGTCTTTGCTGACCGACCCTGAGTCAGATGATGCCAATGTGAATGAGGAGGAGCCCTAAAACAATGAAGACCTGGAAAAGCGCTGCTGAGAGCCGGGCTACGATAGCCATTTTGGCTAAGCTTTTGTGAGTTTCCGCAGGTGGCTGCGGGGGGGAGTGCGATTCACCAAGCACTTCACCAGTCCCTGTGGAATTTTAAAAACTTAGAAGTTGACATGTGGTGGCATGCACCAAACATAGCATGGCCACTGCGCAAGGATGACATGTGACTGCCATTGCAAAATGGCTCAAGCCAACGAAAGTTGGCTCAAGGGCGAGACGAAAAAGGTCTTGCCTAGCAGCTGCTGCTTCAGCTGTTGATCCACGGCTTTAAATCATGGGATTTTAGATATTTTAGCGGGGTTCCCCTAAATGTTCATACAAACACAGGTTAGTATCGTCAAGGAAATGATGGTTAGTAAGGGGTAACGGAGGGCTATATATATATATATTTATATATATATATATTTATATATTTATTACTATTTTTTTTCGCGGCAGGTTTTCGATTTTTTTTTGGGTTCCTGGTTCTATGCTTTCCTGTTTCTCTGATTTTCTGCTTTTCATGCTTCTGCTTTTCTGCTGCTTTTCTGCTTCTCTGCTTTTCTGCTTTTTGCTTTCCCTGCTTCTCTGTTTTCCCTGCTTCTCTGTTTTTCCTGCTTCTCGACTTTTCTGCTTTTTGCCTTTCCTGCTTCTTTGCTTTTCTGCTTCTCTGATTTCCCTGCTTCTCTGCTTTTGTACTTCTGGTCCTTTCTACTTCTACTATTCTACTTTTTCTTTTCTTCAGTCATGTGCTTTTGCTGCTCTACTTCCTGCTCCTTTGCTTCTTTGCTTCCTGTCTTTACAGTCTCTTTGTTTTTCATTTTCTTTTTCTTTATTCTGTTCTGTTTGTATCCTAAATGAAACCCTAGAGAGACCCTAGGTGAAACCCAAAGAAATGCTGATAAGAAACCCTACATGAAGCCTAAATGAACCCTAAAGAAACCATAAATGAACCATAAAGAAACCATAGATTAATCATAAAGAAACCATAAATGAAACCCTAAAGACAATTTAAATGACACCCTAAATGACATCCCAAAGAAACCCTAAACAACACTCTGGAAAAAAAAACTAAATGAAACCTTAACTGACACCTTAGCTTAAACCCTAAACTGACACCCCAAAGAAACCCTAAATGAAACCCTAAATGAAACCCTAAATTGAAAGCCTAAACGAAACCCTAAAGAAACCCTAAATGAAACCCTAAAGAAACCCTAAATGACACCCGAAATGAAACCCTAAAGGAACCCACTTGAACGTTTTAGAAACCGTGAAAAGAAATACTGATAAGAAACCCTGGAATGAAACCCTAAAGAAAGCTTAAATGAACTCCTGAATGAAACCCTAAATTGAAACCCTAAAGAAACCTTAAATGAAACCCTAAAGAAACCCTAAATGAAACCCTAAAGAAACCCTAAATGAAACCCTAGAGAAGCCCTAAAGAAACTCTAAATGAAACCCTAAAGAAACGTTAAATGAGACCTAAATGAAACCCAAACTGAAACCCTAAAGAAACCCTAAATGAACCCCTAAATGAAACCCTAAATGAAACCCTAAAGAACCCCCAACGAAACCCTAAATGAAACCCTAAAGAAGCCCTAAAGAAACCCATTTGAACGTTTTGAACTCCTGATAAGAAATCCCGATTAGAGACCCTACATGAAACCGGAAAAAACCCAAAATGAAACTCTAAAGAAACCCTAAATGAAACCCTAAATGATACCACAAATGAAACCCTAAATGAAACTTTAAATGAAACCCTAAATGAAAGCCTAAAGAACCTTCAAGAGACCCACATGAACGTTTGAAGCACCAAAATGTAGCAAAGACCAAGCAAATGAGAGGTTGAGATGCCAAATACCACACAAAATGGAAGGCAAACATTGCCAAATGTAGCAAATACCATGCAAAATGCAAAGAGGCCATGCCAAAATGTAGCAAATACCATGCAAAATGACTGGTTCCAGTTCAAAACTGTTGCAAAGACAAGGCAAATGGTACTGGGAAAGAAAGCCAAAAAAAAATCCAAAACCTGAGGCAAGAAAAATCCAAAAACTATTCTACACCTGATCGGGGTAACTATTCCCCAAACATGCTTGTTTTCAGGCTAGCAAATTATTGCTACTATTATTTATCCAGAATAATAGCAAACTGCAAGCTCTTGTATATAATGCACGTATATGATATATACATATAAATATCTGGTATATAAGACATTTTCAATCCTGTGACTCACCCAATCGACAATGAGGAGATATGTCAGGCATGTCCTGGGTAGAGTGTGGAGTGTCAAGTTTGAAGTGTGAAGTGTGAAGTGTGGAGTGTAAAGTGTCAAGTGTAGAGTGTGGAGTGTAAAGTATAGAGTGTGGAGCGTACAGTGTGAAGTGTAGAGTGTGAAGTGTAAAATGTAGAGTGTGGGGTGTCAAGTGTAAAGTGTAGAGTGTGGAGTGAGAGTGTCCCAAATACAGTGCCTGCCACGCAAAATTATATACATTCCACACGCACTAAATTTTGACTAAATACTGCCCCTGCCACGCAAAATTATACTCTCACAATGTCCCACGCCTGCCACGCAATTTACACGTTGTCACCACTTGACGCAGCTCTGACAATGCGATTCCCAAAAGAACACGCAACACCACACGTCTAAAATGCTGGGCTTGCCAAGCAAAATGAAGATGGACACGTCCAAAGTGCTGCGCCTGCCACGAAATGAAAGTCATCTTCTGAAAACGATGCAAAAGTATTGCGCCTGTTACACAGAACGAGTTTGACACGTTATGAAACAGGTTGCGATGTCACAAAGTGCCATGCCACACGAAACGAGGTTGCGCAACGTTTCAAACCTTCAAAAGTGACCACTTTTGCAGCAATCCCCGTGGGCACGGCCATAGCGACCTCACACGGACGGTTGCGAACGGTTGAGAACGGTTGCGGACGGCGGGGCAACGTCTAGTGAACACACCCTCAACTCCCAAACCCCCAGAGCGAAGCGGGAACCCTTGCTACGCACTTGGGAAAAACATGTAGCTAACCCTGAACAGAACCCAATGTGGGAAACCCAATGCCATAAACCAGCCCAAAAATCACCATTTTGATGGGTGGGATAAAAAACATCCCAGTCATGGCAGCCAGCGTTTACCACATTTCATCCCTCTAATTCCAAGAATTTTCACCATGATTCACCGCTTTCTATGGGTGCTACAAACTAAACCATGGGCAGTCATGGTAGGTTTATGGGCGGGGTTCTCCAAATCCAAGCGATTCAGTTCCTAGGAAAAGATGGACATTTGCATCGAGGAGGTGATGCAGCTGAAACGCGGTCCGCGGATGAGTAGCTTCCAGGTCTTTCGCTGGAACATATGGGAAAAATGGAGTTTTTGTTGCTGGAAACATGGGGATTTGAGCAAGAAACAATGGCGAAAACATGTGATTTAAGGAAGAAACATTACGATTGAATCAGGAAAAAATATGAGCAAATGTGATATGTGGAAGAAACCAGGCGATTTAACCAGGAACACATTGTGACCAAATGTGATTTTGAGTGAGAAGACTATGTGAAACAATTACATTGGGGTTTAATTTAAGCATCTTAAATGGGGATTTAACCAAACACAATTGGGGGGTTTTGCCAGCAAAAAATGCTGGTGATTCAGCGAATTTCACCAAGGAGGATTTACCCAGTAGCGATGTCAAAACGGACCAGATGGGTTTGTCTAAGAACAGGGTATAGCCCCAATTCGTCGCAAGTATTGGAAGGAAAATGTTGATTGCACAATTACTGTGAACATCACATTTTTTGGGACCCTATTTTACACAGACAAACCCAAACATGGGGGAGGACCTCTCCCCGTTTCGGCGATGTTACTTTGTTGATCCTACAATCTCTGTTCCCAGGTCCCAGATTGTCTGCCCCTGATTTGTGCTACCTAAAAAACAGCACATTGTTGGAGCGTAAATATTGGAATCACTATTTTATCTAGCCAATGTACCCCTTGTTTGTCGCTGGAATGCAGCGGCTTAATGTCCCCTTTTTTGCCGGCCAGCCTCACAGGTCCATTTCCATCGCTGGCCAGATCTCTTTTTGCGCTGTTGAAATCCTTTCAGTGTTTTGTTCCCAAAATTCTTCATTGGGAACTCCCGCTGGTGTTTCTGTAGGTCCTGTAGGTGGTGAAATCATCAAATCCCAATCACAATCCCGATCCTAATCTTTGCCAAAAATCACCATCAACATGGCCAAGGCACGGAGTTCCATCATCTCAACGGCGCCCAGGTCGCCGAGGTCGCCCAGGTCGCCCACGTTTTTTTTTTTTTGGGATAACCATTAGATCATGAACTGGCAATATAAACATGAGATGAACAGAACAGATGTAGTATCAGTATGATGTAGTTATATGTAGTTTATCATAGTTTATCCATTCATGGTGATTTGGGTTGTGAGTTGTAGCTGATCCATGACCTAAGAAACGATGATCAATAGGATTCTGGCTTGGGTTTCAGAGATTTGGTTTTGATCCACCTCAGTCATACTTTGGGAATGTCTTCATGGCATCCGCTCAAAAAAGAGGGGGGTTTTACCGGTCTTACCCATGAAACACGGGTTTTTGATCAACAATTGACGGATTTAAAAAGCGGAACAAGAGATGTCATTTAGAGACCTGGAGTTTCAACCACCAAAAATGGTGATCCATTTGCAGGTTGGGGGGGGTGTTTGAAAATGGGACCTGCACAAAAATGGCAATTAAACAGTGAGGCAATTGATGATAAACCATGGGTTTTCGGGGGGATACCGTATTGTCAGACAAATCCAGATTCCTCTGGCTTTTGTTTTTTTCGATTCAGACTATCCAGACTATTCAGACTAGTCAGACTATTCAGACTAATCAAATTATTCAGACTATTCGAACTATTCACCATTCTTCTGCATTCTTTTGCATTCTTCTCCATTCTTGACCATTGTTCACCATTCTTCACCATTCTTCATCATTCTTCACCATTCTTCACCATTTATCACCATTAATCAGCATTCTTCACCATTTAATCACCATGAATCACCATGAATCACAATTCTTCAGCATTAATCACCATTCTTCACCAATTCTTCACCATTCATCACCATTAATCACCATTCTTCACCATTCTTGACCATTATTTACCATTAATCACTTATTAATCACCATTTATCAACATTCTCTACCATTAATCACCATTAATCACCATTCTTCATCATTAATCACTTATTCATCACCATTCTTCACCATTAATCACCACCAATCACCATTCTTCACCATTCTTCACCATTAATCACTTATTAATCACTTATTAATCACTTATTAATCACTTATTAATCACTTATTAATCATTCTTCACCATTAATCACTATTAATCACCATTCTTCACCATTAATCACCATTAATCACCATTCTTCACCATTAATCACCATTCTTCACCATTCTTCACCATTAATCGCCATCAATCACGATTCTTCACCATTCTTTACCATTAATAACCATTCTTTGCCATTAATCACAATTAATTACCATGAATCACTTATTAATGACCATTCTTCATCATTAATCACTTATTAATCACCATTCTTGACCATTAATCACCATTCTTCACCATTAATCACTTATCCATCACCATTCTTCACCATTAATCACTTATTCATCACCATTAATCACCATTCTTCACCATTAATCACCATTGATCACCATTACTTACCATCAAATATATAATTCTTCAGCATTAATCAAGATTTTTCACCATTCTTCACCATTCTTCACCATTCTTGCCATTGATCACCATTCTTCACCAATAATCACCATTCTTCACGATCCTTCACCATTAATCACCATTCTTCACCATTGATCACCATTAATCACCATTGTTCACCATTAATCACCATTCTTCACCGTGAATCATCATGAATCACAATTCTTCACCATTGTTCACCATTAATCACTTATTTATCACCATTAATCGACATTCTTTACCCTTAATCACCATTAATGACCATTAATCACCATTAATCAACATTCTTCATCATCAATCACTGATTAATCACCATTCTTCACCATTAATCACGATGTATCACCATTCTTCACCATTAATCACTTATTAATCACCATTCTTCGCCGTCGGTCGCTGATTATTCACCATCAATCACTTATTAATCGCCATGTATCAACATTAATCACGATTCTTTACCATTAATCACTCATTATTCACAATTAATCACTTACTAATCACTTATTAATCACTTATTAATCACTTATTAATCACTTATTAATCACTTATTAATCACTTATTAATCACTTATTAATCACTTATTATGCACCATTAATCACTTATTATGCACCATTAATCACTTTTTAATCACCATCAATCACCATTCTTTATCAATCTGCACCATTAATCACTTATTATTTATTAATCACCATTAATCACCATTCTTCATCATTAATCACTTATTATGTACTATTAATCACTTCTTAGTTATTAATCCCCATTAATCACCATTCTTTTTCAATAATCACTTATTATGCACCATTAATCACTTATTATTCACCATTAGTCACTTATTAATCACTTATTAATCACCATTAATCACCTCTCTTAATCATTAAGCAAGTATTATTCACCATTAATCACTTATCAATCACTTATTAATCACCAGTAATCACGTATTATTCACCATTAATCACCATTAATCACTTATTTTTCACCATTAATCACCATTGATGACTTTTCTACATCATTAATCACTTATCATGCAACATTAATCATTTATTAATCACCAATAATCACCATTCCTCATCATTAATCACTTATTATTTACCATTAATCACTTATTAATCACCTATTAATCATTTATTATTCACCATTAATCACTTATTAATCACCATTAATCACCATTAATCACCATTCTTCTTCATTAATCACTTGTTATTCACTAGTAATCACTTTTAAATCATTTATAAATCACTTATAAATCACTTATTAATCACCATTACTCACCGTTAATCACCATTATTTTTCCTTAATCACTTATTATTCACCATTAATCACTTATTAATCACTTATTAATCACCATTAATCACCATTAATGACCGTTCTACATCATTAATCACTTATTATTCACCATTAATCACTTATTAATCACCATCAATCACCATTCTTTGCATTAATCACATATTATTCACCATTCATCACTTAATCACGTATTAATCACCATTAATCACTATTCTTTATCATTAATCACTTTTTATTCACCATTCATCACTCATTAATCACCATTAATCACCATTTTTCATCATTAATCACTTATTATTCACAATTAATCACTCGTTAATCACCATTAATCACCATTCTTCATCATTAATCACGTATCATTCACCATGAATCACTTTTTAATTACCATTCATTACCACTCTTCATCATTAATCACTTATTGTTCACCATTAATCACTTATTAATCACTTATTACTCACTTATTAATCGCTGAATAATATTAATCACCATTCTTCATGATTAATCACCTATTTGTGTATGCACCATTAATCACTTATTAATCACCATTAATCACCATTCTTCGTCATTGATCACTTATGATGCACCATTCATCACTTATTAATCACCATTAATCACCATTAATCACCATTCTTCATCATTAATCACTTATTATGCACCATTAATCACTTATTATCCACCATTAATCACCATTAATCACCATTCTTCATCATTAATTACTTATTATGCACAATTAATCACTTATTAATCACCATTAGTCACCATTTCTTCATCATTAATCACTTATTATGCACCATTAATCACTTATTAATCACCATTAATCACCATTTTTCATCATTAATCTCTTATTATGCACCATTAATCACATATTAATCACCATTAATCACCATTAATTATCATTGTTCATCATTAATCACTTATTATTCACCATTAATCACCATTAATCACTTTTTATTCACCATTAATCACCATTAATGACCCTTTTACATCATTAGTCACTTTTTATTCACCATTAATCACCATTAATCACTTTTTATTCACCATTAACCACCATGAATCACTATTTATCACCTATTATTTTTTATTAATCACCATTAATGACCATTCTACATCATTAATCACTTATTATTCAACATTAATCACTTATTAATAACCTATTAATCACCATTAATCACCATGAATTTCCTCATTGATCAGCCTTCATCCATTCCCAGGAGTCCACCTCCGCCATCGCCTTCAGACCTGAGGGGCCGCCAGTCCTCAGCGCAAGCGATCGCTTCAGGTTTCTCGGTGGATTTTTGAATGTGTCTGACAATGGGTTTTTTGTCACCTATTTTCAGGCATTTGAATGCGAGAATGATGAGGATCCATTGGAGCACTTGCGGGCATATTTAAAGATAAAGCGAGGTATTTGGTGAAATTTGGCCATGAACAAATTGAAGTTCACCTTAAAACATAATTTCAACATCAAAATATGGGTGAATCTGGGTGAATGTCAGCGTAATGTCTTGAGTTTAGTTGCTATCAATGGAGGAATAACAATCCCCCAGTCGATGGCTTGACTGCGGGAGGCATAGATCCCCTTTTTGCACTGCTTGGTACCCCCCGATGGAACACCCAAGAGGCCAGTGACCAAAGGTAAAGGCCCCAAGGTTGACACCTTGGTGGTTGCTGGTTTCTTACCTTCAAATAGTTATTGATATTGAACGTGTCACCCCTATGGTTGGCTAATGGATCGTTCCGATCCTGTCATTGTTGTGCCAATTTGAGAGGTAGACCTTCCCCTATGTCAAATGGATCAACCATTTCCAATACTTGCGCAGATTCATCTTTATAATTCATCTCATTCATCTCGACAGGAGATGTTTAAGTGGAACAGTTTGGTCACCACCCGTGTGGCAATATGACGTCCAACGTGAGTTTCACACGTTTCCCCCTTACTTTCAAGCAATGGCCAAACCAAAGCCTGCCAGCAATCCATTTATGGTGCATGGTGTGGATATCACTCTCCCTTCATGGGGACATATGATAGACATACATTCTATTCCATTCCGAAGTTCCGTTGCATTCAGAACTCATTCCATTCCGAACTCTGACAGCCCTTATATTTTTCAAGCTGGTTGGATCCTCATCTTTTTAGGCACAGATTTTGACCATGCCCTGGCTCCGACTAAAAGCAGGAGATACGGTGGCCTTCTCGACTCTTCGGGTTTCGATGTGCAAAAGTTCTGGCAGCCAAAACTCAGGCGCGGCGGACATCGCTGAGAGAAAATCATAGCCAGGCGATCCGATGTCCGCATGTAAATTCAGCAATCATCACAATACTGAGGATACGTAATGATAATAACATATAATAACTCATCGGGACAATCACAATAATGTGTACTTACTTATGACATACAGTATGTATATATATATATAATATTATAATTAATTATATGTATCTATGTATACATTTATCTACATTCATACTTAATTAGATATGGTATTTTGCACAAGCGTTGTCACTTTTCAGCAGCTGTCGACATTGGCCCCATCTTGTCTCCCTTGGTTCACTAGACTGATACCAACATATTTTGCTATCTAGGGTCTCTGCTGGTGTGATTATATATATAAAAGGGGTTTTCCATGGTATTAATTGTTGCTTTCCACTTCCAAATCATATAGGTGCATGGTAGATCAACAACTACATACTCCATTTGCATGGAACATGAGTCCCAATCCATTTTACTTCGACTTGCATGACCATTCAGCTCACAATTAGTAGGGACATGTTGGGAAAACTGGTTGGTGACTTGCTGAAGAGGCTTGCTGCCTTACTAACTGGAACTGTCGCCTTTCGCAGATGTTTCACAGATTGACCATCTCCAAAAGAATGTTGGAACGTGTTGGAACATATTGGAACTGGAATGTAAGGGGACCCCTTCACACCAACTTCAAAGATCATGTCCTCTTCAACTTTACGAGGCGATTTTTTTCTGGGAAATGACTCAGAGTAACGGGTTCTTGAAGCAGTTGAACAAGCCTTGAGGACTTTCGGAAACGTCATGGAAATTCCCTAATAAACCAATCAGTAGGACCGACTCAGAGATGGATTAACTTACAGAAATCTTCTTTCAACCCTGTAGTTGGAGTGCACATCATCCATGGAAATTACTGTATTTTTTGCATTCCTATATTTGATAGATAGACCCTGTTTCTTGTTGGTGTTTGTTTGCTCAAGCTGCCGAATGTCAAATTTAGTCTAGGCAATTTCCAGGAAACTCAGTGAAAACCCCAGTTCTGGCGTTCAATCTGCTCGATTTTGGTGGTTAAATCCATCATTGTTGGTTGAGTGAATAAAATAAAGTCTCCCATCTTTGCAAATTATACACATTTTTTGGTTTCTTATGTCATTTGAATCCTCAATTTTTTCAGGCGCAATCCCCAATTTTGGTTGCAAGTTTTTGCTAAATCACAACTTTTCTTGCTTCCCCACTTTTCGTGGGAAAATCGGAACATTTTCTTCATTAAATCTCTTTAAGGTACATGTGGGATCCACAACGCCATAGTCACAATCACCGATTTGCTCTGACATAGGGGATGATGAATTTCATAGCAGCCTTTTTTTGGTTGCACGGTTGCACTACCCAACACATTGGAATTATCATCCATGAACTGGGGACCCTGAGTGACGAACCAATAGTTTGGAATTTTCGGATAGGTTTTTGACATTGCTCATTTGTGGATGGTTGATTGAATCCTGGTTCCAGATACTTCATTGGGAATTTATATCCCATGTTACCCCTATTACACCCCACTACATCCGCCATTGTACCTTTAAAGCAACTACGAAATGCGCCCTGCAGGCGACCGTCCCTCCTTTCAGACTGGCGTGCCTGCGCGGCCGCTTTCCAAACGGCCACACAGCGACAGAATGTTGGGGACTGTTGGGGATTTATGTAAGATGACTTCAGCTGATTTCGTCACAAGAAGTAGAACACCCTGTTTTTCCTTTTCCTCAAAATTGATATCCCTCTCTCTGTCTCTGTATATTTTCATCAAGATTGAAATCCCTGTCTCTCTCCCTCTCTCTCTCTCTGTAAATAATATGTTCATCAAAATTGATATCCCTCGCTGCCCCTCTCTCTCTCTCTCTTCTGTAAATTTCACCAAATTGATATCTCTCTCTCTCTCTCTCTGCCTGTAAAATTTCTCATCAAATTGATATGTATCCCTTTCTCTTTCTCTCTCTCTGTATATGTTCATCAAGATTGATGTCCCTCTCTCCCTCTGTGTATATTTTGATCAAAATTGATATCCCTCTCTCTCTCTCTCTGTATATATGCCTCTCAAATGTTGATTCTGACTTGTAGCCATCTGGGTCGAGTCCATGTTCAGTTGGTTTTCCAGCGTGTGCAGCCATCGCAGGCAATCCAATCTGACCTCGCTTGAGCCAGGTACCTCCTCGGTATCGGAACCTGAGGCGGTCGGGGTTGTCAGCCCGGTTGCAGCGGTCGAGATCTCTCATCCGCCTGATCCTTCAGCTGACGCCAGGACAGAACATCTGGTGCACATAGAAGAGAGTATCTTCTGTGGCATAGTTGGGGCCTTGCCTGAAGAGTTCGGCTTGGACAGGAACCTGAAGGCCACCGACCTCCGCTGGTACGCGGTCTGGGACGTGCCATACCAGGATAGAGATTCCATTGCCGGGATTCATTGGGGAAAAGGTACCTCCGCGCACACCTCCATTCTGAAATTGGCCAGAAACGAGTTCAAGAGGATCAAGTGGTGCCGTTGCGACGGGCAGGCCGAGGCAGAGGAGCGCTTCCGCCTGGAAGCACATCGCTTCGCATTGCCTGAGAGCTGAAGGGAGAAGGTGATCGGTTGGCTGATCACCGATGCCGCCTAAACCTGGCCACGGAGGCTACCTGCTGCTCGGCGGCGCCTTTGCCGAGCCAAGATGGCGCCAAGCTTTGGTCCTGCAAGTCGATGGGGATTGGATGAAGACCATCGTGCGTTGCAGTCGCGAAGAGATTACCAGCACAGGCTTCACTCCTTTGAGTGTGGAGGAAAGCACCTTCTGCATAGTGTAGTGCGAGGTCCACAACATGCGTTTTGGGGCCCCTGTGGCCGCAATGGAACTCGGCACCGAGAACAAGAAGTTGCTGGACGCCGGGAAGGCCTTGCTGGAGACAGACGAAGAGATGGTCTTTGGAACTGCCTCGGAAATGGGACAGCCAAGGCCCAAAGCTCAGGGCCGTGGCAAGAAAGCAGCCAGCAGCAGCAGTTCCGGAAGCGCCTCTGCAGGGGAAGCCGACCTACTGGCACAGCTGAAAAAATCTTGGCTAGGCTCTGGTACCTCCGCAGAAAGGAAAGGTGCCGAGACCGACACGCACAAGAAGCCTCGACGGTTTGCACTGATCGAGAAGAAGAAAAGCGGCCAGACCAACTCCAAGGAGAAGACCGCCGAGGAAACGGTGTTGGCCGCCGCTGTCCAGTCCGGCGATCCGCTCCACGGCTTGCTGGCCTTACAGCTAGCAGAGTCAATGAGAAGGGGCCGCAACAAAAAGAAGATGAAAGACAGATCTTCAAGCAGCAGCAGTGTGAGCAACCAAAGAGGCTCAAGCAGCTCCAGTGGGAGCAGCGATTCAGTGAGAGGCGAAAAGGGGCATTCTCGAGCCGTCCACAACTACAGGAAGGAAGGGAAGAAGAAGTTCAAGCATCCTCTGCGCCATGTCAGGCGCTATGTGAAGTCGATCGAGGAGGAGCTTGGAGCTCAGGACAAGCCCTTTCGCATCACAGACATGAACCGAAAGATCCACTTTGGGAAGCAGCAGAACCTCAAAAGGTGCCATTACCTTTGCTCCACAATTTTGGAGTACCTCTTGAAAGAGGAGCCGCAGAAGGCGGCCTTGCAGACGGTGCTGGCTTTGCAGGCAATGCACCAAGCTGCGATAGATGGAAGCTGGGAAGTGGCATGGCTGCTGACTCACACAGCCGATCCTTACAAGCAGAAGATCTTTGGAGGCGACCCATCATCGCTCCAACATGTGACGAGCTATCTGCGATCCATGAACGACCTGGCCAAGAATACCGAATCCCTGAAGAAGAAGGGAAGCGGAAAGGGCCTGGAAGACGACCAGGCCGGAAAGGAGAATCCAGGGTCGAGCAAGGGCCGCGGAAAGCAGAAGCACGGCAAGGACAAGGACAAGGACAAGACCACCAGCGAAGGTTGACGGCTGAGACGACTGAGCAGGCCATCCCTGCAGCCAGCCGCATTGTACAGTGCTTGGACAAGAGCTGGGGCTCTTTCGGGCGTTTTTGGAAGTTATTGAAGTCCTCTGGTTTTAGTCAGAGGTCGGGGCCTAGGACACCCAATAATCAACATGGGAATATCCCTCTTTTTCCGTCTCTACTGGTTACACCTGAGAATAATGGTAAGTCCAGAAGTGCTCGACAGCGAGCCAGGAGGCGAGACCGTGATGAGTCATGGAAACACACCGAAGTATTGTGGGCTTACTTCACTTTCTTAGATGGGGGTTCCCCTCATAAGACTGCTGATCAGAAACGCCTTTTGCATAAAGCTGCCCAGACACCATGGACACCATTGCACTCATCGTATGCCGGTTCCCTGCATAGTGGAATTAAGCGGTTTGTCCGCCTACGGAGTGACGACACACCCCTTAGTCGCGGCATTCACAAAATTAGCTCATTAATTAAAGTGGTTCGTCAGAATTCATGTTACTCCAGTAGTCAAGCCCTAGAACAGTTGTGTAAGGTTGCTAAAGACGTTCTGCCTGAAAGGATGTCCCTGCCATCACAGGCAGGCATTGTAGATCCTTCGCAGTTTTTGAAAGGCGATCAGCTGGCCTCGTTCCAGAACATGTCAGCCGAGATTCCGCACGGAGTGGAGCCACCCAGACCGACCGTCGGTTGCTTCAGGGTTCCACCAGACAAGCTACGAGAGGTGAACCTAAAACTCCTTGAAAGCGGTGTTGCCGTTTTGATTCCTGAAGAACTCGGGCTTAGAGATAGTAAGGGTAACATAATCACCGGGGGATTGTTCGCTGTTGACCATAAACCCCAAAGTGACAGGGTAATCCTTGATCGTCGCCCCTTTAATGAACTAGAGAGGAGACTGGTTTGGGCTAAGCTGCCGCACGGCTCCCTCTTGACTCAATTAATCACCCCCCCTGGTTTTTCGGTTAGAGGTAGCGGTGATGATCTCAATAACTATTTCTATTTACTAAAGCATCAGGATGATTGGCTCCCCCGCAATACCATTGGGAAAACTTTCGACGGTGCTGGTTATGAACAATTTGGCGGTGTTCCTGGTAAAAAGTACCTACTCTCATTTCGTGTCATTGCCATGGGCGACCTCAACGCGGTTGACTTAGCTCAGCAGGTTCACCTTGAAATCCTTAAGGACTGCCAATGCATGAACGAAGGTGAATGCTTGGAGTTCCGCTCACCTGTACCAGCCAGCCATACTCTAGAGGGTTTGTACATAGATGACCATATAATCACGCAAGTACTCCCTTCAAAAAAGAATCGGAACCCCAATATGAAATTCAGGGATGAGGAACTCCTTTCTCGCAGCAGGCAGCAGTATCAGGAGAAAGGAATCCCTACTTCCAGCGGAAAGGCATTTTCAAAACTAGAGAACTACACTGCTTGGGTGCACCTATGTTTAAACTTAAACATTTGACAGACATCATTGCGAGCGTTTGCAGCCTCAAGCAGGTTAGTAAAAAGTTATTGCAGGGTGTCGTAGGGCTTTTGGTGCATCCGTTCACTCACAGACGCAACCTCATGTGCATCCTTCAGGACACCTTTACCTTTATAGAAAAACTAAAAGATGGTGAGTCTAGGCCATTACCCCCTAGTGTCAAAGAAGAGCTAATATGTAGTGGTTTGGTTCTCCCAACTTGCCATAGTAATATTAGGTGGGGTGTCTCGAAGCGTGTAGGGGCGAGCGACGCCTCGCTGTCGCATGGAGGCCGTTGCGCGTCTCTGGTCACGAGCCCGATAGCGCAGACCCTCTATAGATACTCCGAACATAAGGGAGAACACGTCCGCCTGGACTGGTCAATAGGGGCTATAGCACCAGAATCGCAAATGCACAGGGCCCCAGCTGAAATTGAGCAGCTGCTCAGTGACCTACCTTGGAACCAGACCGAGAGTTGTAAGTTTGCACACAAACAACATATCAACATTCTTGAAGCTAAGATGATTTTTAGGGAGCTTAAGGACGTGGTAATGCAATCCACTCAGCCTTTGAGATGTGTTTTGGTTGTTGATTCACGTGCAGCTGCAGGTGCCTGGGCTAAGGGTAGATCCTCCTCAAAAAACCTTAATCGAATCATGAGACAATCACTGGGATGGTCCTTGGCAGGATGCAAAACGTTACATGTGTTGTGGGTCAGATCGGAAGCCAACCCAGCCGACTACCCATCACGTTGTAAGAAGATACCGGACCCTCCTGAAATACCTAGTGAAATCTCTCAGTTGGCTTTCGGCAAAGACCTGCATGAACACCAGGCCAGAAGGTCCAATAAGGCCATTTGGCGTGCAGTGCGGCAAGACGCATTGTGCCCTGAGCAGGCCTTCAAGGCCATACCTGCTTGCGACGCCCCGTCGCCGGCAAAAATGCGTGTGACAGCCAAGCAGAATGAAGCAGGGAACCACCCTGCCGTGAAAGCCTGGAGCTTCCGAGAGATTTTTTCAGGGGTAGGACATCTGACGGGGGTTTTCCATGAAAAGGGGATTTTTCGGGTACAGCCACCAGTTGAAATAATGGAAAAGGGAAAACCCCGTAGGTCTCATGATATCTTGGACGATGCCACCTTTGATCGATTATGCAAAGATGCTCGTGCGCCCCACCAACTCTGGCACTTTGGTTTCCCCTGCGGTTCATTTAGTTTAATGCAAAATATGAACAAAGGTACCCGCACCTCTGATGAACCTTTAGGCAACGGAACTTTACATCGTGAGATAGTTGGTAATGAAGTAATGCATAGGACCATCCATCTTTGTAGATTGCTGCATGAACATGGATCCAAATTCACACTTGAAAACCCCCGCGCCTCATATGCTTGGAAAACCCCAAAAATGTTGGAGCTGATTGCCGAGTGTGATTGCACCATAGTTCACTTCGATCAATGTCAATACGGTTTGAAGATACCAATTAAAGAGGGCATCCCAGGATTAGCCAAAAAAGCCACCTCCATTGTAGGAACCATGCCGAACCTCTCACAGTTGGAGCGGAAGTGTGACCACTCACATGAGCACGTTCCCGTGGTTGGTGGCGTCAAGCACAACGGCAGGTGGCAAAAGAGGTCAACTCTAGCAGGTTCATACCCGCAGCAGTTGTGCGTTGCATACCACAAGGCTTTTGCAAAGGCCTTCAGCACATGACTACATAAGAGAGCAGTTTTTTAACACATCATCAAAAAATATGCATCGAACCTTTTAGTTTTTTATTTGCACGTTTCGCCAGCATGGCCGAATCTGCGGCGCCTCTCGGTGCCAAGCTGAGATGGAGTAAGTTCAGTGGAGCTTACAGACAGCGCCTCACGGAAGGCGGCCTGGCGCTAGACCTGTTCTTGCGCCGACACAAGGCGCCTTGGAGATTGGTGGAAACAGAAAGTAGCCAGACAGTGGATGAACTCCTGGAATCATTTGTCAAGGACATGCATGCACTGGGAAAGAGCAGCTCTCTCCGAGTAGCAAAGCACGCGGTCCTGTTTGTGCAATGCATTCGTCCCAGACTGAAGCGACACCTGGGTGCCACATGGAGCGCCATCAGAAGCTGGGAAGAACAGAAACCGAGCGGCTTCAGACCACCTTTACCTGTGGCTCTGCTAGCGGCCTTAGTTTGTCAAGCACGGAAATTTGCTGAAAAAGAAGTTGATCGACAGAGGGACCTGTGGTTCAGGTTGTCGGCCCTGCTCATGCTGGGTTTCTTTGGGTTGCTACGTCCTGGCGAGATGTTCAAACTTCATAGCCGACACGTCACCCTGCCAAATTCCCTCTCGCTTGGGGGGCCTTTTGCCGTGGTGATGCTTGAGCAGTTCACCGTTGTTCACCACCCTGACGCCATAAACTGGTTGTCATGGTTGACCCTCACCAGCGTGAAAACAAGAAAAGCACTGTGGCCTAGCTCACCCAACAAGTTTCGAGTGATGTTCAAAGAGCTCTGTGAGAAGTTAGGGATCAATGGCATGAAACTCTCACCCGCATCTTTGCGTGCCGGTGGGGCTACATGGATGATGGACGAAGGAATGGAGATCTCCAAGATCCGTTTCCTAGGTAGATGGAGTAACCTACGTTCTCTTGAACACTACCTCCAAGTAGCCAGAGCACAGCAAATTGCTTTGACTCTTGAGCCTGAAGCAGTGCGCCGTTTGAGAAGCCTGCTACTCAAGTTCTCATTCATGCTCACCCTGCCTGAACACTTTGCAGCACTTGTGCCCAAAGAGCATCGCGTGACTTCTGAGGTAATTGAGATACCCTGTGCCGGCCATGTCGTTGCCAGCATCCGAATCTGGAGCCAACTGGCAAGCACAGTTCAAGAAAGCCGTGGTGCTGGGTGGCTCTCTAAAGGGGGCCCCCTACTTAGAAGTCAGCTGGGAGGATCTTCGCAAAGCAGCCAAGAACTACAAAGCTGACGGTCGCTTCCATCAGTTTGCTCGAAGATGTGTTGCTGAAAAGACTTTTGGGCCTAACAGTAATTCAAGCAGTCCAGGTGATCTAACCTTCCGCTCAAACCTGTGGAAGCGCTGTAAAACCTTTTGCCTATGGCTGTTGGGCAAAGCCAGATTGCGCTGGGGCTTCTCCTTCATCCTAGCGCTTTTGCTGACTATGCTGCTCACACGACCACTATTTTACGTGGTCCTGACCAAAATGGCCTCTCTGAGTGTGCGATTGTTTTTGAGACGGTCCATGGGCCTTGTAGCGGCAATCCTTGATGCCATCTTGGACGAAGCTGCTGTCCAACTTGAGAGTAGTTTAGGACCCCCACCACTTTTAGCTCATCCATCACACGCTCAAAACAACCATTTTAATCAGCAGCAGTTTCATGTGCAACCGATGAATTCGTTTTCAGCATATTTGATGCATGGGATCTTCACGCTCCTTGGTGTTCTCATTGGACATCGCTTGCAACGTGTCCCAATAGCTGCCCGCACTCCCACTCGCCTACGTGTCGTGTGAGTTGGATCAATGGTACACTAGGATAATTGGGAGGGTTGGTACTTCTCTAGCATTGTTTTAAGGTAGGTTGAGCACCTCCTTTGACCTTAGGCACAAGGTCGTAATCCTAGGGAATAACACTCAGCTGTCATGACATCCAGATTCCAGCTCCGATCACTGCGTCGCAAGCTGCAAAGCAGCCAATTGGCCAGCCGGCCAACAACAGATTCAGGTGAGCCCCGGAGTGACAAAAAAGGCAACTTGGGAGTGAACAGCTGCAAGGAAGTCATCACACATATATATATATATTCATCAGAAATGATATCCCTCTCTCTCGCCCTCTCTCTGTATATTTGATCAAAATTGATATCCTCTCTTTCTCTCTCTCTCTCTCTGTCTCTGTGTATATTTGCATCAAAATTGATATCCCTCTCTTTCTCTCTCTGTATATTTTCATCAAAATTGATATCTCTCTCTCTGTATTTTCATCAAAATTGATATCCCTCTCTCTCTTTCTCTGTGTATATGTTCATCAAAATCGATATCCCTCTCTCTCTCTCTCTGTATATATTTTCATCAAAACTGATATCCCTCTCTTTCTTTCTCTGTGTATATGTTCATCAAAACTGATATCCCTCTCTCTCTCTGTATTTTCTGGTCGCTTCGCGACGACAACCGCCCGCACCGGAGTGTTTGCTCCGAAGTTCCAATAAAACATAATAAAATCATATATATATATATGTTCCATGTTGTTGGGGGTATGTTGGGCACATGTTGGCTCTATGTTGGGCCGTGTTGGGCCCATGTTGGGCCATCTTGGGCCTATGTTGTGCCCATGTTGGGCCTATATTGGTTCCATGGTGAACCATATTGGGAGGTCCCTTCAAAAAACGTGGAAAAACACAGGATTCTCGAGCAATAAAGCCCCCCCCCAAGCTAAAGCTTAATAGCTATTGCAATTGGTTCCAGTTAATACGTGCACACAAAAAACGCCTCGGCACCTTCGGTGCGGGCGGATTTTCATCAAAATTGATATCCCTCCTCCTCCTCCTCCTCTCTCTCTCTCTCTCTTTTTTTCCACCAAACTTGATATCCATCTCTCTTTCTCTCTCTCTCTCTCTCTACATATGTTTATCAAAATTGATATCCCTCTCTCTCTCTCTCGGTCTGTGTATATTTGTATATATATATATATATGTAAACACCAATTTGTATGTACATATGTAGATATGTATATATGTATACATGTATGCATGTATATATGTATATATGTATATATGTATATATGTATATATGTATATATGTATATATGTATATATGTATATATGTGTATATGTATATATGTGTATATGTATATATGTGTATATGTATATATGTATATATGTATATATGTATACAGGTGTATATGTATATATGTATTTATGTATGTATATATATATAAATGTACATATGTATTTATGTATATTTGTATATATATATATTGTTGATTAGGCAGCTTCCAAACCCAATGGGTCCCACCGCCACGCGAAGTGCGGCAAGGCTCAGCAGCATCAGCAGCCTTTTCGGGCTGCACAGCGCGCCATTCGGCATGGTCTCATGAGAAAACCCTCACTTAGGCCATAAAAAGAGGCAGGAGGATACAAATGAAACATGTAAATGTCAATTGTGTGACACGCAATTCACACAGGTGGAAAAGGTGGGAAGAAAACATCGCTTCAGATCGCTTCCCGTGAATTTGCATCGGCTAGGTCGCCAATTTGTAGAGCTCCAGGTGGATCCACAGCGCGAGCATCGCCACGGAAGTCGCACTCAGGTCGGCCAAAGTCCTTGCTGCAAACTCTGCAGGCAACGCACTTGTAGATGACTTGGTTGCCATCAGTCCTGCAGTACACGCAGTCCAAGTTTGCATGCCTTATTGAGCTATGGGGCAGCAGGTAGATCTCGTAGTCCTCCAGGTTGCGCTGGAAGTCCATACGATGCACTTCCCATTTGGCCTTCCACTTTCTGGCCTCGTCTCGAACATCGATCAGCATGTTCTGCTTCTTCATCAACTCAGCTTCAAGTCCGAGTCGATGCTCTCGAAGAACCATCACTTCTTCGTACATCTTCCGAAGAGTGGCTGTGTCTTCGGGCGTCATCACCGTCTCGGTGACAGTGCGGGAAGCAGCAGGTTCTGCATGAGGTTCAGGGAGCTCCCGCCGGAAAATCCAGCGTCGCAGCAGCCAGCAGCCGAAGATCATCAGCATGATCATGGTCAGGAACACGGCAGGGTCGTTGACATAGTCCAGCAGGTAGTGCTCGTCCAGGTGCTGCAGGTAGATCATGGGCACCGCGAAGTCGAAGTTGGTCATGTTGGCATATTCAGTCACATTGGGCATCGCTTCTTCGAGGTTGGTCTTGATGTCATTCTCCAGGGTGTTGGGCATCTCACTTTCGAAGTTGGTCTTTGGGTCAATCTAAAAGGCGTTGACCACGCTGACAACGTTCAGGAGTCCTGCAAACATAGCTTGCATAGCTCTTGCAGGTTTCTTCCCTGCAAACATCTCAGCATTCTTCTTTCTCTCACCAGCAGTCTTGCGTTTGGCAGCTTGGAAAGTCAGGTCTGACTTCAGCTTGGTGCGGTGGCTTCTCAAACGGTCTGCAAGAAGTTGGGCAGCAGCTTCTTTGGTCAGGCCGTGCGCATACTGCAGCTCTGAACTCACCCATGAAGTTCGGGCTCCACAGCACTTGAGCTTGTCCTGCGTCACGAGGACCTCGATGGTTGTCCGTTTATCCGACCCAGTTCCAGCTTGAACTTCTTCTTTGATCAGCAGGTCGCACAAAGCTTTCGCATCAGCCACCAGTCTCGGAGAGCAGGGCAACTGTGCAGTTGCAACGTCATCCAAAGGCAGCCATGGGGACCAAACAAGGTTCCAAAACGTTGAGGCAAACAAAAGGGCATCTGCAGCTTCTGATGCTCCTTGGCTTTCAGCACTCAAAGTTGAACGGGCCACCCTCGCAAGTTTCCAACTACACCAGTCTAGGACGTTGTACCATCCTTCTTTAACTTCAGCTACCTTGTTGTTCACCATCACCAGCAAGTAGCCGCCTTGGCTGCTCAGGTCATGATGGCAGGCAAAGGAGGCATCGCTGTAGGCGATCATGGTCAGGTCATTCTTTTCGCCAAGGTAGCGGTACTCCAAACCAACGTCCGCATTTGTTTTCGCCATCCTCAGGGCTTCGTTGGCTTTCTGCAAGGTCTTGATGGTTGCTCGGGTCACATCCCCAGCCAGCAGGGAAACTTGAGCTTGTAGATGTGGTGAAGGTTGAGTTGCAGGCCATTGAGCCACGAAGTTGCGTTCTTTCACTTTCGGTCACAGGCAAAGACTCGTTGTTCTGGCGGTCTTTGGCAATCGCAATGGGCTTCTGCTTGTGGATGTACTTCTCCTGGTTGAGGTGCCAATGGTTCTCGGCCTTCTTGTCGATTTGACATCCACTGTTTTCAAGGTGATCACCGCTCAGCCGTTCACGAAAGCTAAAAACTCCCATCAAGGATTGTTGGAGGCGTTCAGCATGCTTGTTGTTAGGCTTGAGGCATCCAAACAAATCATCAACATGAATACCAAACATTCCAATCAACTCAGGTTCGATCCCATGCGCATGAGCTTGATGGGGATCTTGGTCATAGGCTAGAAAAAGACAGGCATCCAGGGAATGTTGAATGATGGTGCCTTTGCCGGTGCGCAAAATGCGCTCTGTCGCCTCTTCATACCATGCTCTTGGAGCGTCACACAAACCATAGGTGGGCTTGATCAACTTCATCAATTGGCCGCTTTCGCGCTCAATTCCAAGGATCTGCTCAGCATCCCTTGGCAGGCGCATTATATCTCACGCGAGCCATCAGTCTTGAAATCTTTTCCTTGCAAAAACGCTGTACTCACATCACTTGTGAAAGGCTCCATACCCAACATAGTGGCCACTGTCATGATCACCCCTCTCGCCAGCCTTGTGAGCGTTGGACTTGTAGTGGAGAGAGATCCGCTCAAGGCATCAGGTCCTTAAACCCTTGGACCACTAGGCGGGCTTTTCTTCCATCCCAAGATGAACTTGCCTTTGAGGATTCGGTCTGCAGGCACGTTCTTGCCATTGTCAAACTGCCAGACAGAGTTGTCGAAGAACGACTGCAGCTCCTTCATCTTGACTTCTCGGAAAGTCATTCGATCTTCCAAACTCATGTAGCGCTCATTCAAGGGCTGGTTGCTAGGCTCTTGGGCGTAGCATCCGTCCAAGTTCTTGTTGAAAAGCTCCTTGGCCTGTTTTCGCCAGGCAGGCAAAATCTTGAAGCGCGTGTAGCCAGTCCAAGTGCTGGTGGCATACTTGGGCTTTGGATTGCCTGACTTCCACTTCTCGCAGTAGAGGTAGCTTCCCATGCTCACCACCTTCTTGTCCAGGAAATGCAGTGGAACAGGGCAGCTCTTCTCGTCAGGCACAAAGTCGCTCTGTCTTGGGGTGTAGTGTCACCTGGTGAGGTAGTTGCCGGCCATCTCCCATGAGTCCATCACATTGTCCTCCAAGACCATGTAGCCATTTGCAATCTTCCAACCATGGGGCAGCTTGGTCTTGTTTTGAATGTCCACGTCAAAGGAGTGCTGGGCATCTTCTGCATCTTGAAGACCT